ATGTGACTGTTTCTGAATATTACTTTAGGGTTATGAACATATTTTTGGTTTTATTCAAAGTGCTTACATACTGATATTCAAAGGTACAAAATTACTTGGGTAATACCCTGTGAAAATGTTGTTTCTTTTAAAAGGGTGAAGTATTTGCTGTATTATTTATTTATTTTTTAGTCTTGTACGGTAATGACACTACATTTGGCTTAAAGTTTAATCCACTGCTCCCACACATGAGACACGCACCAGGTGGGAGCTCTTAAAAAAAGAAAAAAAGCTGCAGTGTGAAGTAAACTCACTTACACATGCAAACAAAGGCGTGACCTTCGAACTCTTCCCTTAGAGACCTTTGAACCTGAGCTGTTAGTCAGTTGGATTTGAAAATCCAGGTTATCTCTCACGCAGTATGGTTTCCCTCCACTGTCACTGTTAGTTGCACGCTCTCACACAGTTGAGCATGTGAGAGATTGTTTAGTAGAGAAATACTACAGCTTGCTGTGACTAAATTACTTTCAGTTTTCACTTCTAATAACGACATTGTGATTTTATCCAATACTAACACAAGTGGAGGAGGAGGATTTACTGCCACAGATACTTAAATAACAAAGTGATGACAAAAACATTTTTAGAGATTTTATAGAGATGAGCCTCCTTACATATTCTAAATATGTGTCAGTGTTTTTTCACAACATATTAGGAATATTGCACATATGCAAACAAAGGGTTTGTTTGGGTTTTGTAGCAAGATGGTAATAAAGGAGGGAAAAAGTAGATATAGTCCAGGTGAGGTGTTGATGCCTATCAATGACCCTGTCCAGCTCTCATATAACGACAGTTATTCTTGAGTCTTTGTTGGACACAAACTTTCTCATGCCACCCTGGAGGAGCCAGACTACCCGTGCAACCTGAATGCTATCAGTAATGACAAGGACACTACCAAAAATCAAAACTAGAAACAACTAAAGTCTGACATAGCTCATCTGCTATTTGTGTGAGAATTGAAGGGGCTTAATAAATTGAAAATGTAACGGCTATCTATGGTATTGGCCTGCATTACACTCACTCTGTGTACGCGAGCATTCCCTGATGCTTGACACAGTGAAGAAAGGGAACTACACAGATGCACAAACTTCTGTAGTGCCACATATGGTCTAACATGCAGTAATTACATGGCATTAGTTAATTTGTGTACATAGAGCATATGTCGACCCAGCATATATAAACACGCTGACAGAACTAGTGGAACATCAAAGACTCCCCTAAACCTCAGCCGATTCCTCTCTGCCATCACTCGACTGGAAATGTGGGACTGCGTGCGTTTGACAGGCGGAGCGCAGCAGCTCTTATCCGGGCTGTTGTTTGTTGGTATACTGCTGCATTAGCATTTCTACTCAAACCATGTGCTGTCTGTGAAACATGGAAGAAAACAGAAAAAGCTGTTGGGGGATTATTGGAGTGAAAGCTGCAGAAGCATAAACGGAGCCATTTGTTCCTGTTCTGCTCTTTTATTTGATATGTTTGAATTTTTTTTGCCTAAATTTTATTTTTTTTATTCTAATATTTCCTGTAATCTGGTTTGATCCAAGACAATTGTCAACTGTGGAGGACAATAAAGTAACAGTAGTCCTGTGTCTAAGTATTGTCTCCTTTGCCTGCTCTCCTTTCCTTTTCTGTCTAAAAATAATATCAAAGATAATTTTTCCTCCATAAAATCACTAGATCATTATTTGAAACATTCCTCAGCCTCAAAGTCAGGGTCGCCAGGTTGTAGTAGCTGAAAAGATAAAAATAATTGCACATTTTATTATTTTAGCAAAGTAAGTGCTTGAAATAGGTCACAAAATTAAGTTTAGAGTTGATCTTAAAGAAGACTTGCCTACACACTGGATTAACGCTGCACTCATGTCAGGTCTATGAAGCTGGGAACTGATATTCACACAGCCACTGCGTGCCTTTTTGTTGCACGAGACAGGATGGCATTGAAAAAAAAATGGAAGAACATGCTGAACTGTTTTCACTTTAGTCCAGTTTTAGCTTTCCTGCATAACAAGTGTGTTGGCATGGAGGTATATGAGTATTGACTATATACAGATTATCACCCACCACTCAAACTGGAGACGGAGCTTTTAGCCTTACTAGTTGTTTTACTGTGTACACTGTTGGTTTTTAAACTATTAAAGTAAAGGGATTGTGAAAGCTGAGTGTGATTTACAGATTATTTAAATGTGTAGTTGTGTGCAGTTTGTAGATCAAAGCATTGATGGTTGGGGGGAGTAAGGTGCATAAACTTAATTGTAAACTGTTTGCAGCTGTGCCATTGTGCGAGTGCTGCTAGCCCAAATTCGCAGCCATGGCGCTACCGGATCGGGCTTGCGAGCAGTCCTTATTGCAAGTATTCAGGATGTTGGAGCGAAGGACAACATGAAGGAGCCTGCTCACTTGTTGCCCTGTATTTAAAATGTTCGACAGCTTGATTTCAAGAGTTTAATCAATGACTTTTTAATCACTTGACATAAAGAAGTGCTTCTGACTTAGTAAGATGTTTTTTTGTTATACACTGCAGGTATATAAACAAAAAAAAATTATAACTATAAGACTAAATATGAATTTATTGTAATTTATGGTTTAGTTATTGTGCGACCAAACATTGTATTTCAGAGGGACACATGAACTGTGTGCTCTATGTGCAATAATATGTTCTGATACTATATCCATGGTGTAAATTGAGCTGATGTTAGATGCTGCTGCTTTAGTCTCTTGTGATTGGTTAGAGTTAATTAAATCCCCTCCCCCTTGGAAACTTGTGGAAATGAGTGGACGCAATGTCAGTACTGGTCCACAACTTTAAGATTATGACTTTCAGGAGTTTAGGGCTGGATTATTTAGGGGTGTAGATGGCTGAGATGAGACTTTGCAGGAATGCACCATCATCTGGAGGTGCACTGAACTTGAACTACACGTGGCTGCCCTTAACAGTTCCCAGTGGCCCCAGAAGGTGTCTGCTGTTGTACTGACCAGTGTGTTAATTATCCACCGCTCGCTCTAAGCTGGGCCTTGTTTGAACCTCAGTGTCTCCACGGTAACTGTAACCAACAGTTACGCAAGCTTGACAACGGCAGCCCTCGATGACCCACATTCCAGCAGTAAATCACAACGCGTGCACATTCCCGACTCCACCCTTGCCTATCGAAACTGTTCTCAGTGTTTCCACTCGACGGGGAAGGGGAGGCGGCGAGTTAGAACGAGGCGGGGAACGTTTTCACTTCTGTCGGCCTCTTTTTTTTTTTTTTTTTTTCTCTCCTGTTTTTTCTATATGGAACAAAGTCCACAAACTGTGCAGAATTAGTGTAGTTGAATCTTTTGTTGGAAGTCTTTCTGCACACACTCCTCAGCCTCAGATTAAATGGTTGAATTTGTTTGCTTGCATTCCCTATTAGAAGCTGGCATGCGAGTTGTTTTGTTGGCATGCTGACAGAAAAGATATCTGCGGTCTAGGAGATCCACAGTGAAGACACAACATCTTTCCTGCCATAATAAAATGTAACAATTTCTTATGAAGTAAACCTTAAAGACACTCTCTCAGTGCTTACTCTGTACACTGAGAATATATATAACTGTCGCTTCCTGACCAATGGGTTCTCTGAAAATGACGTCACTATTCATGAAACGTTACTTGGACCATGGTGCTCGAGTAGTATCTGCATTTTGTTCCACAGGTTCATCCACTTGTCCTGGCATTCACCTTAAAGTGGCAACATTTAATGCTGCACTTAAGAAGGCGTGCATCCCCCCCCCCTGATGCCAGAAACTAATCAGCGTCTGTGAGAAACTATATATGGCTTTATGTGTTCATAGCTGCCTTCATCTTACTTGAATATCTTTCCACAAGTTTGTCTCTCGCTTTCAATTTGTTTTTGTCCCCTAGAGTGAGATACAATCACCTACTTTTTCAGAGTAATAGCAGCTACTAGCTATGCAATGTTGGCAAGCTCCTGAATACCTTAGATCTTTCTCTGGTGGCGGTTATGATGAAATATGAGGCAGATTTACTGCTGAGCCATAACATATGCATGTGTGTGCACAGGCTGCGAGCTACAGTTGCTGCGTCAGCACAGCGTTGCGTACATACATCAAGGTTTTACACATTCTTGTTCTGTAGTACACTCTGTAGCAGATGAAGGAAATGTCTACATGTAGGCAGTGGATTTCTACACATGTAGAGAAAATAGCCCTGGGTAGCTGTGTAACACAGGCTGTGTGTGTTCTGCAGAGGTTTCCTTAGACCTGCACAGTGTGCTGAGATAAAGTAGATAAGTAAGTTGGAACACATTAAATCAGTGTGCAGATCAGGAAGGTTCTTGGAAATGACATTTGATAACAATTATATACAAATGACTTTAAGTACATATTTAAGATTTAATTCAAAGTAAACTGGAACTAATCTGTGTTGAACTGCTTGAAAGGGACCTATTACGCTCACTTATGACCTCAAATATACTTCACACGTATACGTAAAGTTTATCCGAAATGACACGCTTCATGGTTGTGATGTCTTCAGTATTTAATGTGATATTTGGATGGCAAACATTCATCTTGTCTATTTAATAACCGATGTCACTGAAGTAAGTTGTTGTGCTCAAAACTTGATGCATGTGGGCTGACAGTCCATATCGGTGAATAACTGATCAGCCTTCTTTTCCTGTCGTCGCACAACCTGCTGACACACTCGGCTCTCTGGATCTCAGCCAGCCTTGCATTTTTTTGCTCTCCCGCCACAGTCGAGGCTGCTGAACAGCCACCTTAAGAGCACCATCCTGCATTAATAATACGTCTGAGCTACTGTTTATGCCCTATTTTCTTTCAGTCTTCAATGTTAATATCCAAGCATTTGTTTATGCTCTGCATGTAAACGCAATTGTGTTGAATGTAAATGTTTGGTGTATTTTTGTAATTTGCGGCTTGTATAAACAGAATTAGTGACTCTCTTCCTGTGTTTTTTCTAAAAGGACCTGGAGTTCCATGGCGTGATGAGGTTCTACTTCCAGGACCGGGTCGCCGGTAACTTTGCTACCAAGTGCATCAGAGTCTCCAGCACAGCGACAACGCAGGACGTCATTGAAACGTTAGCAGAGAAGTTCAGACCAGACATGAGGATGCTGTCCTCACCAAAATACTCCTTGTACGAGGTCCATGTCAGTGGCGGTGAGTCCCACAGATTTCTGATGCAAGGAAAAGCGCGACAGACTTTACAGAATCAAATTAATTGTAAAAATGGAGAGTAGGAAATGGATGGCTCTCAGGTAAACTGGTCTTTCTGTGTCTGTGTTAGAAGAGCGTCAGCTGGACCTGGACGAGAAGCCTCTTGTTGTGCAGCTGAACTGGAACAAAGACGACAGAGAAGGACGTTTTGTCCTGAAGAATGAGAACGACATCCTGCCCAAGGTCAGCTGCTCTGACTGTTCGGTCCAAGTGTTCACTGTTAATCATTAGGCTTACTAGCGAGATGAATTATTCTTCCATTCATCCGTAGCCTGTCAAGGAAAAACGAATCATTTTAAATCACTTTGTTCAGCTCTTCAAGATCACAAAGATACAAATGCGCATTGGAAAGGCAACAGCTGCCACTAGAATATAATCAGACTGTATATAAAAGATGGATGCTGCTTGGTTAATGAAGGGCTTTCAAGGAAGCCATCCAGGTATTTTGAGACCAGATGTGACGAGTGAGTGTCTGATTTGGCTTTAAAAACTGAAACGTGTGCTCACTGGCTAAGGACTTGTACTCAGCTTCATTTTCCAATAGGGAAGCTACTTCTATATGTGATACTGCCTTTAAATGGAACATAGTGTTTCCTACACAGACTTTACTTCAGTGAGCTGCTCGGGTATATTTAGCAACCCTCCTTAATCTTTTTCAAGTTTTAAATTTTTTTGAATTTTCTTGGTATTTTTCATTTGCTCTCATGTTTTGTACCAGCTGGCTTCCTGCCAGGTTCCACTTATGGTCCTTAATATCTTTCAGCTGTTCCTTCAGGTTGTCTCTTCAAACTGTGATCTTTTCTATAGTTTTTATATCTTTATCCCACTAACCCTAACCAATTTTAATGATAATAAATGATGTTTTTTTTAATTTGTAATGTAATAAAAAATTAGAAAACGATGAAGCGTAAAAATCTCTGAAGTGTACAACTCAATTTTCGGCGACTCAATGTGCATAAAATTTCGCTCTACCAGCAACCTCAACCAGCCTACCAAACGTTTTTGTGATTTAAAAGTGGAATGTATTATTGTTTACACGTACACTAATCAGTACTATTTGTGATAAGATGTGGTGAGTATTTCACTGCAGGGAGTTACAGGACCGCTCTGATCAGAACCTGGAGCAGGTGGAGGTGTAGTTTATGTCTTCCTGCTCACTGACGATGCAGAGCAAGACAGCAACTACCTGTCTTAATTTAACAGCCTGTGGGGAGCACTGCAGCGTGCCTATTTGACCTTGTAAGAGGTGCTCAGGTTTTAGTGGGTTTTAAAAGTCCCTTTGGGCCCTCAGTCAAATTTGGACATTTTGGCGTACTCGAATGTCACAAAGATGCTGAAGATTTTCTTCTTTTCCTTGATCACTTTGCTCATGTGCCACTTATTCACCCACAAAGGAGTGCATCTATAGCAGTTTTATCACTCAGCCTCACTCTCTTGTTTTTCTAGAAGAGTCAGAGTAACGGGCCTGAGAAGGAGAAGGACGGCGTGATACAGAACTTCAAGAGGACTCTGTCCAAGAAGGAGAAGAAAAAGGAAAAGAAGAGGGAGAAGGAATTCGCCCGAATCCCTGATGGAGACGATCAGACACTGAGTCGCGAGGACGGGTAACGCACTCATTCATCTTACATCCTGACAGTCCTCAGAGATTCTTTTTCTTAATGCGAGGAAAAGCACAGAAAATGACAGAATAGTGATTTAAACTTTTGACCTTTCAGTTCCTTCATCTGACTCCTTTTTTTTCTTCCCTGCGTTTCTTTTTCTGTCCCATTTATTCTTTGGTTTAGAGAAAATCTGGCAGCAGAGGTTTATAAAGACATGCCAGAGACCAGCTTTACCAGGACGATCTCCAACCCAGAGGTGGTGATGAAGAGAAGACGCCAGCAGAAACTGGAGAAACGCATGCAGGAGTTCATGAGCAGCGATGGGAGGCCAGACTCAGGTACTTCTTAGAATTTGCAAATATCTTGTTTACGAGTTTATTCAGACCCTTTTCTCCTAATCCCAACGTGAGCTCGGATTACCAACTGTGCCTAGTCTCGTAGGTGTATTAGTTCAGGGGTGGGTAGAGGAAAAAACAATAGATATATAACAAACACATTCCTTCCCAATTAGATAGCCTGCACCTCATTTATGTTAAAATTAAAAAGCATATAGTGCCATTAGATCCAAAATGTAGACTAATTGAACACTGCTAAAGTGTTTTGTTTCACTTTTTTAATGATGAGACAAGAGATGGAGCTCAGAGGACAGTACGGTATGTTTAATGATCCCATGTGTATTTAAGTTTTTGCTCACTGGAAATAAACTGAAGTCAGAACACATTGGCTCACGTGGGCAGTTTGCACGTGGTATTACTTTAAAATAATGAGACCGTCAACATCAAAGGCTAATCTGATATATTGTTACAGTCATGTGGAAAAGAGCACAGGACTCTAGAGTCCACAGTCACAGCTTCCATAGGACTTAAGAGGGCAAGTAGCAGCCAAGTGCTGCTAATCAAATCAACAAATTCACTGATGATCAACAAGTATGAGCACCTCTGGTTTGGACTGTTCAGGTGTGTGTTGCCAATGTGTTCTGTGTGTTGCCACCAAATTCAATCCAGTGTCAGAGTAACTGCAAAACCCCCAGAATCTTAAATGTTAAAATTCATGATGGTATTTGTTGGAGTAAACAGTAAATTGACCTAAATATGAAAATCAGCTGTGAATACTGACTTTTTATGTCACAAACCGAAATGGCACAGCCAGAGAGGGACCCGGATTGGCTCTAAAACAAGTCTGAATGTCCTTGTATGGCTTAAAGGAAACCTGACGTGAACTCTGGAGATAATCTGCAGCGTGACCTGAACGTCGCAGTTCACTGCCGCTCCTTATCTGGTGTGGAAGGGCATGAGAAAGCAAGTTAAATTCTGTGAAAGCAGGTGTGCACATCTATTGGAGTGGTGTTTATATAACATGCGGATTAGCGGCCCACTTTTTGTTGTTAGTAAATTGTTTTCACTGCTCATCGCTAATTACTCAGAAGTGCCATATGCCATTGGAGCGTCTCACGCTGACATGTTTACGCACACAGACATACGTCGTGGACGTGCCGAATGAATGAAGCAAACATGCTGACTGGTTCAGCGTGTGACTCAGGCATTACCTAATCACTCTGCCAGACAGACAGATGGACGAGTGAACCGGCTCTAAAAACGGCTCAAACCACTGTCCGCATGCACATGCAGCTGGTGAGGCAGGACGGCCGGTGGTTAGACGGTGACGTTCTCCCGGCAGAAAGCACTATTTAAAAAAACAAACAAAACACCCTTATTTTATGTAATGAAAATCCTGTTTGCTCTGCTGAAGCCTTCTTTTGTGGCATTTACAAAGGTGATCATTTTCAGTTGACACGTCCCCGTTACATGGCTACATGTTCCACCAGATGAAAGTTGTTATAAGCATTACGTTATTGCTTTTCCCCAAACTCATCTAAAAGTGTACGCAAGAAAGTTTAACGTCCAGGTCAAGCAAGAAAGGATAGACCGAGAACTGATGGTGACAGAAGTTTGTAAAGTGGGAGTCTGCTAGCACCATTACATTGGCTATATTAAATGCAGTCAAAAATGAAACTAAATGTGAAAAATACACCCAAGTTCACTGAAGTAAAACTAGAACTAAGTGTGAAACAGTATTTAGTGCTTTTGCATTCAGAACTAACATGCTCCGTCTCTGCAGGAGGCACTTTGAGGATATACGCTGACAGTCTGAAGCCCAATATCCCGTATAAAACCATCCTCCTCTCCACGAGAGACACAGCTGACTTTGCTGTGGTGGAGGCTCTGGAGAAGTATGGACTAGAGAAGGAGAACCCCAAAGAGTACTGCATTGCTCGGGTAAGTTTTCTTAAAAATCTGTAAACCCATCTTGTCACCTTCTCACGCTCCCAGTAAACACATCCATCAACACCATAAAATCTGCTTTGTTCTCGCTAAAATTAAAATCTAGTTAAATTAGGTTTAGTTCCTCCAGCTGCAGCAAATTCCATCAAACCCACGTTAACAGTAACAGAGTTTGAGCTTTTGTCACAGTTTAATATGTGATTTTATTTTTGAGGACACTGCGTGATGTTCACAGCTCATATTTGATCTTCATGGTTAGAGGTGTAATGTTTCCAAAATCATGTTTTCGTTTTGCCAGACTAGCATACTTTAACAACTCCACATGGGACTCATCGTGAGATGGGACATTTGTATCGCCATTTCTGTTGTCGTCTGAGAATTGTTACACCGTTAATCCTGCTTCTCTGCACTATACAACCTTGACGCTCCGAGTTCAGTAATAAACACCTTTATCATCCTCCTGAGAGGCTGTGGAAAGTTAAGTTCACTGTCAGTGCCACAAGGGTCACCACTGCTGTCAGTAAACATTGTAACAGCTTCCAATACGAGGAGCGTGCTATATATCCCACCTTTAAGGCACATTTTAAACACATTTTCTCTTTTTTTGGTTCCTGTTTAAATGAAGATGACTAATAAAAGTTGGAAAAGAAAAATCCATGCCCACTTCACAGGAATGGCAGATTGAAAAGGAAAGCTTAAGGAATGCAGCTCAGTTACTTTCAGACCGAGTGCCACAGTAGCAGCAGATGCTCTATTATATC